GCCCGCCGCCGCCCCCCCGCGCCTCTGGGTCTTCGGCGGCGCCCACCCGGAGGGGAACCGGAGCTGCGTCCAGGTGCTGGACCTGGGTGAGTGCCCGAGGGCCCGGCGAACCGGGCCCCGAACGGCCGGCCCCCGCCCGCAGAGGCCGCCCAAAGGCTCCCCCCGCTCGGTCTCTGCGCTCCGAGGTACAGAGCCCCGGGAGCCGCGGGCGTGCGGGACGGGCCAGCCGCAAAGCCGCTGCCAGGCTCCTTCACGGGAAGGGGAGCGGAGCGGAGCGTGTTTTCCGTTACCGCGTTGATTGCTTCGTTACTCAAATGTCTTAATTAGAAAGAGGAACCTGGGAGAGCCCTGAAGTGAGTGGTGTTCAGCCACTACCTCGCACATTCCACACGTCCTCAGCAGCCATAGGAGACCGTCTGTACGTCTTCGGAGGGGGGGACAAAGGAGCAGAACCCGTTACAGACCAGCGGCTCCACGTCTTTGACACAGGTACCTCTGGCGGCGCGCAGGGCCGTGGTGCCGGACGGTGGAGTCTCTCCTCTGTTGAGTGGGGGTTTTTCAGATTCAGTCACAGACGTGGAAACGTTGGGGCCCTGCTTCGGCCACGAGTGTAAGTGGACGGGGGACGGTCCTCGCTGTTGACACGCGCTTGTCTTGATGTAGTCACTGGGAATTGGGGCCAAAGCGGCAGTGCGAAGCTCTGGGCCGAGGAGCGCCACGGCAGATGGGAGCGGTTTGCCACGCTTGCCCACCAGCCGATTCCTTTCCGTGGTGGCATCGTCCTGCGCTGCTCCCCTTCTGCCGGCGTTGTCCCCTCCGTTCTTACGGCCCTGTGTGCACCAGAAAGGGTTTGCTTTCCCATTTGAATTAATCTGCCCTGCTCCTGGGTGACCCGAACAGCCCAGGGCGCGCCGTCGGAGGGCTCGCCTGCGCCGCACGATACAGCGTTAACTCTCCTGACCCCGCTGGAGGCCTTAGGAAGCCTCGGCAGGGCGCTGGCGTCGCCGCTTTGCAGAGCGCCCTGAGTTTTCTCCCTAATGCGCGTCTGCTCCCATTTTTAGCCACCTTGACCTGGTCCCAGCCAGATACTCGTGGCGATCCCCCCTCTCCTCGGCACGGACACGTCGTGGTTGCAGTCGGGACCAAACTCTTCATCCACGGAGGTTTAGCTGGTGATATTTTTTACAATGATCTGTTCTGCATCGACATCAGTAAGTGCGGACACAGGGGCTGCAGAGCAGTAGCTGTTCTGTCGTGTGTTTTGATTTTGGGGAACCTTTTCTCTAAAAAATCACTTCTTAAGTGCTTCCAATATTACCGTATTGGTTTTAAACAACAGAACTCGTGGGTTTTGTATAACGCATAGCCACGGACGTGTTCTTTGTCTCCACCAGCTGACATGAGGTGGGTTAAGATCCCAGCCACCGGCGACGTCCCGGGAGGACGGGCATCCCACTCCTCCGCTGCGTTTCAAGACCACGTGTACATTTTTGGCGGCATGGGCCCAGGCGGGGCGCTGGACACCACGTACAAGTACCACACAGGTAGGGACGCTTCTCGGCTGCGTAACGGCACGCGCCAGCCTGTTGGAAAAGGCACTGCCCCCTCAGCCTCCCGGCAGTCGGTGTCCTTGCGCCGGAGTGACACCACTACAAGGCGGAACGCTGAAAAGCTCCATCATGTTGAAAAACTAGTCCCATTAATGATGTCATCGCGCCAGCGTGCTTTTTGAGCCCATGAAGCTACATTTGAAGGTGTGAATGTCTATCTTTGCACTGCAGAGAAGCAGCAGTGGACGCTCCTGCAGTTTGACCCCCCTCTGCCCGCTGGGAGGCTGGACCACGCCATGTGCGTCGTTCCCTGGCGGGCCAGCGGCACTGGAGCCGCCCCGCGGGACGAGAGAGCCGGGGAAGAGTCGCGCACGGCCGAGGAAGGGGGCCGAGAGGAGGAGGGGCGCGCCGAGGACGCGGTCGTGCACCTGCTGTTAGTGTTTGGGGGGATGGACATGCGGGGGGAGGTCCGCAGGGACTGCCTGGTCAGCCTGATCCAATAGCGGAGCTGCCGCCCCTGTTCCACACCCTTTTTGCACTGCTGACAGATTGTTCGTTTTTCTTTCCAATAAACAAATCCTCGCGCTCAGAGGGGACGCCACTGCGGTGCGGGTGCTCCCGCCGTACACGGGCCTGGCCCCCGCTGCTGCGCAGCCGCTCTCGCACCAGAGCCTGGAAGGGCTTGCGCTGCCTGGCGGCTTCCAGGGGAGGAGGCTCCCACACTGCTGGAAACCTGGAAACAGAGGGCCTGGGGGGGCGATCGCGTTCATTCACTCATTTTCAAAACAGTGAAAGATAGAAAACCAGGAAAAAAAAAAAGTGTCCCCCACACCAGGGAAAGCGTATAAAAAGCGCTCGGTGCTTTTAGGGAGGTGCTAGAGCAGGCACCACAAAAGCTCCTTCTGTGCCCGGTTCGATTTCTTACCCAAGCTCATGGTGAAATAAAAAGCCCGAGTTCCAATTAGGCTTTTTGGTTTTTTTAAAACCATTTAGTCTTCAGAGAGCTGGTCTGTTGTCTCACGAGAACTCCAATGCTGCAGGAAGCCGAGCTGGTGGCCTCCTCTCCCTCGCGCTGGCAGCAGCCCCCAGGCAGAGAGAGGCGCCCAGGCTGCATCAGCGCTGCCGCAGCTTCCAGGCCTCACCCTTCTCCTTTCCAGCTTCCTCCACGCCTCTTCCGCCGGAGAAGCCGCGGCGCAGCCGGCCTTCAGGCGGCACAAGGCTCCGCCGAGGCAGGGCCGCCCACGCCAGCCTCCCACGGCTCGGGCCTAACGCGAGCTGCTGTGACCAGGCCATGGAGACACAGAAGGCGCCCAGAGCCCCGTGTAAATAACAAATTTATTGTGGTCACTTCAGGTAGAAAAGTTCTACACCAAGCTCACATGACCGAGTTGTTAAATAGAACGCCTCACTGCCGGTACTCCTAACCCCACTGTCGCATTTACACCCCCCCGCGACGCCTCCCTCCCCAGACATCGAGCAACTGCTAACGAAAAGCAGAATACAGCCACGTCGGGCTAGCGGTTCCAGCTCCACTCACAGGTGAAGATTCAGAGTTACATTCCAGATTAAGAGTTCAATATTTTAAACAAGTGTTCCTGAGTCCAATATATACACACACCACATCGGGAGATGCCGCTATCTACAACTCGTCCTTCTCCGCTGCTTCCTCTTCCCCTGGGGGAGGGCCTGCGCTGCCGTAGAGCTTGCTGACAATTGGCTGAACGACTTCCTCCAGCTCCTTCTTTTTTGCTTTGAAGTCTTCAATGTCTGCGTCCTGGTGGCTTTCCAGCCACTCAATCTTTTCCTCCACCGCTTTCTCTATTGTTTCTTTGTCTTCGGAGGACAGCTTACCGCCCAGCTTCTCCTTGTCCCCAATCTGATTCTTCAGAGAATAGGCGTAGCTTTCCAGCTCGTTCCGGGCATCGATGCGTTCCTTAAGCTTCTTGTCTTCCTCAGCGAACTTCTCGGCATCGTTCACCATCCTCTCGATCTCCTCTGGCGTCAGCCGATTCTGATCGTTGGTAATGGTGATCTTGTTTTTGTTGCCGGTGCCCTTGTCTTCAGCCGTGACCCGGAGGATCCCGTTCACATCTATTTCGAAGGTAACTTCGATCTGGGGGACGCCACGGGGGGCAGGCGGGATGCCAGTGAGATCAAAAGTCCCCAGCAGATGGTTATCCTTGGTGAGGGGACGCTCACCTAGAAGACACAATTAGACACCGTTTCTTTCTTTCCTGGCTGTGGTTTGTAGTTTGCGAAACCACGAGCTACATCCCGTTAGAGGCAAGGTTTGAATTTCAACCTGACATCTGTCTAGACGCCTCCCCGGCGCCAGCCCTTACTCTGAGAGCTCTTCAGAACGGAACCACGGAGAAACACGCGTTTGAAAAGAATCCCAGTAACAGCTTTTGATGCAGGTCAAGAAGCCTGATCAGAGCAGCTTCAGGAAGCCACCGCTGTCACCAAGCTCTTCCCCCTAAGGAGAGCTCCATAACCATCTAGAAACATCTGCAGCCTCTGCAGTAAGACAGCAGCAACTATCGCAGTCCTACAGCCAGATTCCAGCTGTCAACACAGGCCACCACAGGTGACACGTACCTTCGTAGACCTTGATTGTCACAGTTGGCTGATTGTCGGAAGCCGTGGAGAAGATCTGAGACTTCTTTGTGGGAACAACAGTGTTTCTGGGGATCAGCTTAGTCATCACGCCGCCGACAGTCTCGATGCCAAGCGTCAGAGGGCAGACATCGAGCAACACCAAGTCACCTGTAACAGAGCAAGGGCGAGGCTGACGTCACTCGGCCTGAACGAAACACCGCATCTCACCGCTGCAGACTGCATCCCGAGGTCTCAGAGGCACAAAGCTTCTAACGGACTGGGAAAGAGCTGCTACAACATTTGCCAGTAACCAATACCCACGATTGCGAGTCCACACCCGGAGTGGCAGGGAAGGCGTCATTACCTGTGTCCTGGTCCCCAGAGAGAACGCCAGCCTGGACAGCCGCGCCGTAGGCCACAGCCTCGTCGGGATTGATGCCACGAGAAGGCTCCTTCCCATTGAAGAACTCTTTAACTAGCTGCTGTATTTTGGGGATGCGAGTAGAGCCGCCAACAAGAACAATCTCATCAATGTCAGACTTCTTTAGGTCAGAATCTTCCAGAACTTTCTGAACAGGCTTCATAGTGGAGCGGAACAGGTCCTAGGAAGACCAAGAAAGCCCAGGCTGTATTCCCACATGCCGAGCCTCCGAATGATGCAGCCCCAGGGTGCAAAGGGCAGCCGCTGTGGAGGAGGAACACCCGCTGGCTTGTGGCCAGCCTTGATGGGCCCTCAGTTGCCATCAGCACGCACGCAGCCCCAGCCACCCCAGCAAGGAGCAGCTGCCTGCTTCTCGGTGCAAGCACAGAGTTATTTATACCCCGAAGCGCAGTGTCACAGCATGAGGTGCTGCGCGTTCGCAAGCCTCCAATTAGAGCTGAGGCGACGGAACTTTACCTTTTAAACTTACCATGTTCAGCTCCTCAAACTTGGCTCGAGTAAGCGTCTCCGAGAAATCCTCTCCTTCAAAGAAGGATTCTATTTCAATTCTAGCCTGGTGCTGAGATGACAAGGCTCGCTTTGCTTTCTCCACTTCCCGTCTTAACTTCTGCACGGCCCTGTTATCCTTCCTGACATCTTTTCCAGTTTTCTTCTTGTAGAGTTTGATGAAATGCTCCATAACGCGCTGGTCAAAATCTTCTCCACCCAGGTGAGTGTCGCCATTAGTAGCCACAACCTCAAAGACTCCGTTGTCAATTGTGAGGAGGGAGACATCGAAAGTTCCACCGCCCAAGTCAAACACGAGGATGTTCTTCTCCCCCTCTCTCTTGTCCAATCCATACGCAATGGCAGCGGCCGTTCTGCAGAGGGAACGGCCCATTCAGAAAACTGGGACTACCACCCCCACCGCCCCAGCAGGCAGGACAGGGCAGGCTACTTACGGCTCGTTAATAATTCTCATCACGTTCAACCCAGCAATAGTACCAGCATCTTTCGTAGCCTGACGCTGAGCATCATTGAAGTAGGCTGGCACAGTAACAACAGCGTGGGTAACCTGAGTAAGGGACACAATTTTGTTACAGAAATGAAGCAAGCACGTAGCTGGTAAATAACCGTAGCAATGCAGTACCCCATTGTTCTTCAAAGCAAGGCAGAAACCCACCAGCAGCTGAGCCCATTCACCTGGGCTGCCCACGGGGCCAGCAGCTCTGAGCAGAGCTCAGGACTGCAAGGTCAGTCCACAGATCCAGCCCACCCATTTTGTTAAGCTGCTGCTTTAACTTCTTACTAGTAGTGCTCATGAACTTACTTTCTTCCCCAAGTAAGCCTCCGCAGTTTCCTTCATCTTTGTCAGGACCATAGCAGAAATTTCTTCAGGAGCAAACGTTTTTGTCTGTCCACCTCCAACATCGACTTGAATATGGGGCTTGGCTTTCTTTTCCACCACCTGAAAAGAGCCACGGATACTGTCCTATTCCAACAGCTCAGAGAAGCATTCCCACTTGTCCGACTGTTTCTTTCTCTCTTAAGGTTAAGCAAAGCCTCCACAGCAGACACAATCTGAATGCTAGCTAAGACAAGGAACCGTTGTCTGTACACCATGGCCACATCACTGCACCCTAACCCTCTCCAGCGCTGCTCAAAAGGGCGCCGTGGCTCAGGAGCCTCGGCTTTCTCAGCTGAGAGGCAGGCAAGGGCATCCGCAGCCCGCTCCTCTGCCCGGACACCCAGCCCCTCCCGCCATCCGCGCTCGGGCCCACCTTGAACGGCAGGTACTTGATGTCCTGCTGCACGGAGGGGTCGTTCCAGGTGCGGCCGATGAGCCGCTTGGCATCGAACACGGTGTTCTCGGGGTTGGACGTCAGCTGGTTCTTGGCAGCATCCCCGATCAAGCGCTCCCCCTCGGGCGTGAACGCCACGTAGGACGGCGTGATGCGGTTGCCCTGGTCGTTGGCGATGATTTCCACCCGGCCATTCTTAAAAACGCCCACGCTGCGGGGCAACGGAGCCGTCAGGCGGCGCCGGGGCCTG